CGCCTGTTGATGGCTGCTTTGTCTGGATACCAGGCTTCCAAGAATTCCCTTGCATTTTTGGATTTAGCTTGGTCTAAGATGCTGAGTTTCCCAGTTGAAACTACAGTTGAGTCTGTCTATGTGTTGTGAGATTAAGGAGTTTTCATCATGTCATCTGACTGCTAGTTGGTGTTCATGGATGCGCTCTGCCAGTCTTCTGCCTGTCTGTCCTACATAGTGTTTATTGCAGTCCTTACACTGTGTGTTGTAGGTGACTCCTGTTTTTTCTTCTTGGGCTACTGAGTCTTTTAGAGACAGCAGACCCCATTCCATTCTAGCACTGAACACGTTACCTAGCTGGGTACTGAAACATTTGCAAGAAAACAACCAAGCTCAGAGAACCCCAAGGACTCCACAGATCTTTATTTTTATGTCAGCATATGAGTGCCAAATGCTAATGCATTTTACATTCAACCTCTGCATCAGGGAATTTCAAGCTGCCAAGTTTTAACTAAAACTGCTGATGCTAAGAAGGTTGGCAATGTAGAGAGATGCACCAGAAATGCTGCCATCATCTCCCATCTCCTTCTCTGAGGGGCTTCCAATGACAGTGATCAGCAGTAGGTACACTGCCTTTCAGCACAAGGAGGCAGCTGCTTGTCACGGACAGAATGCAAGATCAGCAGGAACGTGTTCAACAGGGCAGCCACCTTTTGGTATGTGAGCTTATTTGCTCTTGGTGCTGTCAAAGCATTTGCCCCCAAGTGGTCCTAATTCTCTGTATAATGGCGCCAGCATCTTAACATCAAACATCTACATATATTATGTACCATTGCCAGCTTTATTTCTGGCAAGGGGCATTTTAAAAAATAAAAAAGAACCTCCAGAATTCAATTGGTTAGTTTCCCCCCTTTTTGTGTTATATTTAGCCTGCAGAAAAGAGGTTGTAGTATCTGCATTTCTGATAATTACAGGTCCAGGCTAGGCTGTGGGTAGTTGCAAGGTTTTGTTCAATTTAGGCTTCCTTTACTGAGTCTATACAGAACCTCCCTGATCTGATGCCCTGCAGATATTGGACTTCACATAATGCCATGAGACCATAAAGGCTGTAGAGGTTGAAGAATTATGGAAACTCTGAAGTCTAACACATTTGGAGGACACCACGTTCTGTCCTACGGACCCAACAGTAGCAGGCCAGCAGAATCCAACCCTTCTAACTGGGTTGGTCACTCCAGTGGCTTTGTAATGCATGCCAGTATCAGGTTTATACTGCATGGGCTTATTTATTTCTGTGCTTGTTGAAAACTCCAAAACCTTAGAACCAGGCAAATCATTCAAGCAAATCATTCCAATCCTAATTCAAGTTCTGACGATCTGTCTTTATGCAAGTATTAAACTCCCAGGCACTGTGCTAAGAAAATATTCTACCTACATGTGGGTAGTAGGGAGTACCAATGTTCCAATCATATGAGATAATGCTTGGGTGAGATATTCTAAGATTTCCATACTATGTACCTTTCTTTTTGTTCTTGCCATGGCTCTGTAGTTCTTCCTTCCATGGGTTTCATGTAAACATTTCATGTTCCACCTAAAATATTTCTTTTGGATACACACTCACACAGATCAATGTCCATTCCTTTGAACAGGGAAGTCTATTATTTCAACTGCTTATAAATATGCCAGGAACATAGAAAGCGTTTTGGTTCTGAATCAGAGCACTAGTCTATCTAGCCCAAGGTTGTTGAAAGTGACGGGCAGCAGCTCTCTAGGGATTCAGGCAGGAATTTCATTTTCTCCGGTCTCACCTGGAGATGCTGAGAATTCAGCCAGACATCTTTTGCAAATGAACTTGAATGTAAAATGTAGTAAAAACAACCACAAAGAGGGAAAGGCATGGATTTCATTATATTCATGTATTAATCGACACATTAAAGATACTGTCTTAGTATCATTGGTAAAAATATGTATTACAAGATGGCCAAATAGATCATGATAAATAGTCATTAATTTCACATTTCAATACATTCAGTTGTTAAAAGTGCTTCCTACTTTATTTTAAACACCTTTTTTTTGCTACTGGCTTTTTCTGGTTACCGTTTTTCCTATCTTGAGGTAAGTATTTCGTGTTTTTTAAGCTACTCTCTAAAAACCAGAGTCCAAAACTCCAGGGCTGTGAAATTTCTGTTCCTTTCTACCAGCTGCTGCAGTGCGTGAGCTTCTCTCTTAGATTGGTCGAAGCTTGATCTCCACACCTCCTGCAGAACTGTTCTCTGCACACTGAGAGGAGAAAAAGCAAATGCTTGAGGTCTGGGGCAGCTCAGATGGTTTGCTTCTGCCTTCCACCTTCTTGGTAGCATTCCCTGGCAAAAGATAGAAACAGAATCTGAGCTTTATTCATGCAGGGTTTGAGAAGTGAGGGTGAACATATTCTCCTGTCTACTACTTAGGCCTTCTAGACCTACCATATAGGATTTACCTTCAGTGTCTAATGGCCCAGTGAATTAACTGATAATACCTGATATTAGAAAATTAGGCATGAATAACCAAGACAAGAGAGCCAGTTTGGTGTAGTGGTTAAGGCATCAGGCTAGCAACTGGGAGACTGAGAGTTTTAGTCCTGACTTGGGCACAAGGCCAGCTGGGTGACCTTGTGCCAGTCCTTCTCTCTCAGCCTTAGGAAGGAGGCAAATATTGCCAAGAGAACTGCAGGGACTTGTCCAGGCAGTTGTCTGGAGTCAAGCCTGACTTGAACACACCAAAAAAATAAAAACAAGACAAGGGACCTCTTGGAGTATTGCCAAAAGCAAGAGTGGGTGGGTTTGAAGGTTGGGGGAGGGCAATCTCATTCTTTCTCCCCCTCTCATCTTATAAAACAAAACAATCCAGAAAACGGGCAAGATGCCACTGCCAAAGGATCTCAAAATTCACATAGGTACAAAGCAAATGTCAAAATGATAGCTCACAATGATCAAAAATACATACAAATCAGGGATAGTAATCTAAATATGTACTTCCAGCACCTCACCAATAGCCCTCAGTCAACATTTTTCCATTTCTTTTTGCAGTTTAGGGTAGTGATAAATTGGTAAAATGGGTTCTTTAATCCTTAGGGATTTAAAGCACTTGTTACATCCCTGAAAAGTCACTTCCAAATTGGACTAATTTTTTTCCATGTTGATTTTCCTTTTTGTCCCTTAAAGTCTCCCAACAAACTCCAAGAACAAACACATATGAATTACCAGATATGGGATGGAGAGATCATTGGTTATAAACTAAAAGGGAGTGAAAAGTTACAAAAAATTTTTGTGCTTGGGATGAAGGTGTGAAGTCACTTCTTCATATATATTTCTTTTCTCTTTCTTTACTACATTCTTATTTTTCTTTTGTCTTTCTATTTACTGCTTTTTTTCCTTCTCCTTTGCACCTTTCACTCTTTCTATTCCTTTTTCTTTCTTCAAGTTTGTATTAGATTGTACTATTGTAATTAAAATCTGTAATAAAATTATATGAAAAAATAAGAAAACAACAACAAATTGCCAGAGTTCTACTCATTTTGGTATCATGGCTTTTGTGGGTTCAGGTAAGATATAGTTTGCCCCCCCCCCTAAGCTAAATACCTGTACTTTAATAGAGATATTACAAGGACACACAGGTTGAGTTCAGTATTATAGAGTAAGGTCTACAGATTCACTCATCGCAGCTTTAGAAGATTAAAACATACTAGATAGATTTAAATCTAAATTATATGGTGATTAGTCATGCCACTGAAAAAGAAGTCAACCATTTTAAACTCTTTGAAAAGTCAGTGACAGAATCTATAGACATTATAAAGCAATAATAGAAAAAATATTAGAAAAAAAAGTGAAGGAAATAATTTCTCTCCAAGTGAAGATTGCACGAAGGTCAGAATGAAAATGTTCAAAAGAAGTGAGTGAATTGGTTGATTTCATTTAAAGAACAAGATTAATGATTCTAGCCCACTACAATCAAAACATTTCATTAAACATTCCCAAAATGATTGAACTGCAGAAGTGAGTTGAATTTATACTTTTGGTCAAATTCAGTATAGAGATTTGCCATATATGCCAATATAAAACCAACAGAGAACCAACAGCTTATAAAAGTTTTAATTTCACAGCACAGAGTTATACTTTCGCTAGGCATAAACTTTTCTTCAAAACAAATCACCCCAATATTCGGCTTAAGCACCAAGATCAGACTTAGAATCCAACAGACAGGTTTGAGATGGAATTGCATGTAGGCAATTCTAAAAAATGAATTCAGGCAGCTTAATGACCTAGCTCAAATTGCACCCTTTTAAATTCTCTGTGTATCTGCTTAGAAATCAGCATTCTGGCAATAATTGGACCTGATATTTATTTATTTATTTTTTTAGTAGACTTGTCCCCACCCATCTCCCCACAATGGGGAGATATAATAATTATATAATGGCTTGGTTAAATGGGGGACATCGTATCTTCAGAGATTACATTTCACTGAATGTAGAAAAGTAAAATACAGGTAGTCCTCGGTTAACAATGGTAATCGGGACCAGAATTTCCATCACTAAGTGAATCGGTCATAAAGCGCGATGTCACGTGACTGCATAACTTAGCAATGGCAATCCCGGCAGTCCCTGTTGCCATCGTTAAGCAAGAATCACGGGTCATTAAGCGAGGACCTCCTTGCAACTTCCTGCTGGCTTCCAACAAGCAAAGTCAATGGGGAAGCTGGCAGGAAGCTGAGAGTCCTGGGTGGTTTGCAAGCAGGCTGGCAGGCAGGTAAGTGGCTACTATGGCCCGGTGTGAGTGCAGCTGTGCTGGGGGTGGCTGCTGTGGGGGTGAGAGGTGCACAAGCTGCCCTTTGCTCTGCCAGCCCTGCTGCCCCCAACTGACCTTTGGCATCTTCTTCCTCCCTCTGCTGACGAGGCAAGCTTGGTCTGGCCCTTTGCAAAGCTGAAGCTGCCCCTGCCTGCCACCGCAGTGCAGCGTAAAACCCCAGCCACTCCAGCCCAGCCCTGAGGCACCAAGCTGCAGCTGCCCCAGCCCAGCTACACGGTGCGGAGCCTCCCACTGCCCTGAACTTCGTGACCCATGCTGTCCTGTGGTCCACTGCCCCCAGCTGACCTTCGCTTAGTTCTTGCCCCTGCTGCTGACAAGGAAACCTTGCGAGACCTCAGGAAGGCTGTAGCCAGCGGCTGCCTCATGAACGGCCTGGCCGTTCACACATCAGCAGTGGAGGAAAATGGCCAAGGTCAGCTGGAGGCAGCAGAGCTTAGGCGGCAGGGGCTGTGGAGTGCAGAGGGCCAAAAGGGCACAGACGGGGAGGGAAATAGGCAGGTGTGGGTTGCTGAAATGCACCCTGTGGTCATAAATTCAGGCAGGCTGCAAGCATCCTGATTTTGATCACATGACCACAGAGGTGCACCAATGGCCGTGACTTCAAGGACCAGGTGTAAATACCATTAGTTCAACGCTGCAGTAACTTTGAACAGTCGCTGAACGAATAGTCATTAAGCAAGGACTACATGTATCTTGAAAGGGTTATAGCCTGCATACGTTCAAGAGGCTTCACCTCCTTACGATGTACTTTCAAGGAGATGGGAGAACTGAGAGAACAATGGACATGATAGTAGGGTGAAGTCAATGTGCTCTAACTACTTTCCACATTTATGGATCAAGAATGACTCATGGACTTCTCTTGGGCAACATCTTCTGTCAGAACGCTCTGTAGTTCTGCAGAACTTGTTTGCCTCTGTTACACTTTAGACCTGCTACACTGAAGATCAAGAGATAGCAGGTGGCTTAGTGACCACAAGTCACTCAGCAGAGGCATATTTATACTTACCTTTGCTTGTCTCCTGATATTTTCCCATACCCTGGTGCACACCATGCACTCAAAGGCATCTATGTAATTGTCCTTCATGATATCTTGCACTCCCCATGTGCGTTCTTTAATAACAGCAAGCAGTTGTTTGTTGGAAATGTCACCTTTCAGTTTCCATTCAAGGTAGGCCACATATTCCTTGTCATCTGCATCCAAAGCTTTGATATACTGAGCCAGGTCCTTCGGGTGTGAAAATTCTGTGATGAGAATGGCACTCTTGTTGCTTGGAAGCCAGTCCTGAATAGTGGGAGAGCCATAATAAATAGGTACTACTCCCAGCTTTAGTGGCCTCCAGAGTTTTTCAGTGATGTAATCTTCACAGACTGCATTCTCAAAAGCCAGGACAAATTTATACTGGGCAAGTATCTTGTGGAAACTATCACTGTCCATGGAAGCTGGGTTTTGGAGATGCTCTGGAAGATCTCTATTATGCAAACAAGCCCCATAGGAATCAATTTCAATGTGAGCCATCAGCTCCTTTACGTAGCTGTCTCTGTCAGAGGGAGGGTCACAGTCAGACTGTATGTAGGCAAGTGGCGCAAGTCTCTTCCGCAAGCTGTTCTTTTTTGGCAAAGAAACTGTGTATTTCAGGGACTTTAAGGCCTCGATACTTTCAAGGTACTGGGTGGTAAGTGGTAGGTGTGAGTGGCGGCTGAAAGTGGCTGTGTGGTTGAATAAAGTGATGGCCGGAGCTTGGAACAGCTTGTAGTTGTTTTTGGGGGACTCCTCGTGGAAAAGGGCCCAGTCATGATAGTCTGCACGGGGCAGAGGTAAGTTGTCTATGCTGAAATCAGTACCTAGGTGTTGAAAAATACAGCATACTCCTTTTAACTAAATTCGGCTGAACTTAGTTGCACTTTCCTCAAGAGTACAAATAGCTCAATATCAAGGTAATGTGATAATCACCAGTAAAAGAGACATTCTCTAATCATAAGCTTCATACTAATAATAAGAAAAGAAGTGGAAATTGCAACAAAACATTGCAAAACATTCTTAAGGATGCAAGCCAGCTGGCACTGCTTTCTTCAAAGATACTCTACTGTATTTCTTCCTTGTTTTTGGCCCATTTTTGAGCTTTTTCTCCTCAGCCATCAGACAGCATGGGTAGCCACTGAGCCTACAGTTCGTCCTCATTTAACAACAGTAATTGAGACTGGCAATTCCATTGCTAAGTGATGCAATCAGAAAGCACAATGTCATGTGACTGTGTCGACTTACGACAGCAATTGTGGCAGTTCCAGTTGCCGTTGTTAGGCAAATCCTGCATGGTCGCAGCATCCTGTGGTCACGTGATTACCATTCACGACTTTGACTTTGCTTGTCAGAAGCTGGCAATGAAGTCGCAAATGGCAATCACATGACCGTGGGACACTGCGACCATTGTAATTGTGAGGTGGTTGCTAAGCACCTCAATCACAATCACATGACCACGGGGATGCTGTGTTGGCTGCAACTATGAGGAACGGTCCACTTTTTGGAAAAAAACTAAGGGGAGGAACAAATCTGAAAACAACCCAATCGGGACTAAGCATGCTCAGTGGCCATGGAATGCTGACTGTTTGGGGTGGGGAAACAGAAAAATAGAAGAGAGAGAGGAAGTGACTATAATCTAAATAACCATATTCCCAGCTGGTTCCACTTCTTTCTTTATACACCAATCAGGGTGTAAATTACATAAGAAAAAGGGGAGTAAAAGATCACTCAATAGCCTTTCCAAAACCATAACCAGCCCCTTACCATAGAAAAGAAAGGCTTTAGTCATAGGATTGTGTTGATAAGTCCTGTTGATGGTAAAGAAACAAGCATCCAGGCCACACTGAGCACGCCGTCCAGACTCTCCTGTGAGCGGGGACCACCACAACAAGATGGGATACCTGTCTTCATTGAATTTTTTTTCTGTATTGTGGTCAGGTTTTGGCTTTTTGAAAAACAGAGAAGGATATTTCTGGAACTCATCTTCTTTGGAAGCATCATTTTGTGAAACTGAGTTTTTTGTTGTCAACTGTTCAGACTTGCCCAGTTCTACAATCACCTTTTGAAAGCAAAGAAAAATTGAGAATTACTGAAGGCTTAAGAAATAAGGCATGAACACCTCTTTAAGACAGTACACACTGATACCAATTTTAAATGGTCTTAGACTTTCTAGCAAGAACCAGTTTGGTGTAGTGATTAAGGCAACAGGCTAGAAAGCAGGAGACCTTGAGTTCTGGTTCCACCTTAGGCACGAAGCCAGCTGGGTGACCTTGGGCCAGTCACTCTTTCAGCCTTAGGAAGCAGGCAAGGACAAACCATTTCCAAAATTTTGCCAAGAAAACTACAGGGACTAGTCCAGGCAGTCACCAGGAGTCAACACTGACTCAAAGGCGCACACACACATACACTGTGCTCAATAAGACTGTGATGGGGTGTATTATTTTTGGATTCTGAACTTACTCTATTCATATTATTAATGATATTGGACTGTTGCTCTCTAGTCCATGAAGGTTTCCAGAAGATCTTTAAAGATACTTCCTCAGAGTTTCCAGAAAATCTTTAAAGATACTTTTATTTCATCAGACCTTCAACTCTACTGAAACTTTATTGTCATCCATCTTGGGAGAGGATTGATTTCCTATTTCCTAAACTGCTGATTTTTGTATTTTTTGTTTATTCTCTTGTTCCATTTATAATTTTAAGTCTTTTGAGTTGAGCAGGCTATAAAAACTATAAAATAACCAACCAACCAAACTTGCAGAAAACTGATTTATTCAAAATCTTCTAGGATGCTTATGGAAAATGCTTCCTTCTAATTTTTAGGAATTTTCCTTGTCTATACACCACAACCTATCCTGTTCTCCAGATTCCCCACCCTTGGTGTAACATTTCTAGAGAACTGAAGGTATTAATGCAGAAGCTAGGAAATCTACTATCCCCATCTAATCTGGATTCAAGCCTACAACAGCAGATCCTCTTTAGGGTCTAAATTTAATTTCATAATACTTCACATGAAAAAACGTAGAGTTTTCCACAGGACCTATTAGTAGCATTTCTGATCCATGACAGAGTTACATCTGATCTGGTTCCTCCTTTTTTACTGCATCAGCTCAGTGTCTTACAAAAGGAGCCAAGCTGTGACATTATAACATAGAATAATTCATGACAGCAGAACCAGAATAATGAGAACGGGGATGTTTGTTTACTTGACGAAAATGACTCGCCCTGTATTTTCTACTGTTTGCATGTATTGCCTTTTACTGGTGAAAACCCAACAGTGCTGAGAGACCAGTAGAAAGGAGCAGACATTTGGGACCACTGGGTAAGTACATAATCAAACCCCAAACACTGGGCTGAACCCCTTAGTTCTGAAGCTGATATGGCAGTGTCCCCATTCCCACCCTTAAAGCTTCGCACTACATAGAACAGTGCTATTCCTTCCTCTCCTTGTGGCATTTCTGAACATATTCACAACTCCATCCTGAGTATCTTTGGTACCTGGAAAGTGATCAGGAGAAAAAAGGCAGCCATAAAGCAGAAGCAGGATGCCCAAAATCTTTTCTTCCTAATTGTTTTCATGCCTTATGATCAGGCATAAGAAGCATTCATGTTTGAGGTTCAGGAATCCTTAACATGCCCCACGAATGGCCCAACTGTTATTTTCCCTAGAAATCCATGTTCTTCTTCATTGTCACTGCTGATGTGGGAAGAAATGCCATCAAGCCTGGGTCAATCCTTGACCTTGTATCACTGTAGCTTCCTAAATCAGGGATTTCTTGGAATTAATGCACCTGCTAAATGAAAATACACAGTTCAGAGGCACATTCTCCAACCTATGCTGGCATATGTGCTAGAAAGCAGTCCCCGGTCTTTCTAATGTATGTGGAGGATCACACCCTCTTCAAAAACTTTTGGGAACCACATAAGCCAAGAGTTAGCAACACTCTGCACGGGGGTACTATGGCACATGTGGCCCTCCCCAAGCAGGACCCCAATATTAAATACAAATTATCCCTGAGACAAATACAAACCTTCTGAGACCGCCATATTGGGACAAACCTGTGAAACTGAAGTCATTTAAAATTTAATTTAATTTAATTTAATTTTTATTTACCAACAGAGCACTAGTGGTCCGCAAACCACAAATTGGGCGCCACTGTTCTACATTATCTTTCCATTCATCTACAAGAAGGATGATGTGGATTTTGCTGGCTCTGGATAATTGGAGTTCTGATTCAACACATAGTAGGAGACCTTGGAAACAGCAGTGCAGTTGAGAAGAAAGAAAAAGGTCACATTATACCAAAAAGAAACTGGATACACCTACATTTAATTATTATCAGAGCTCTGCATTATATGCCAGTATAAAACAGGACAGAATTAGATTTCACATCTGGAATTTAGCTGAGAAATTTTATCTCTTTACCGTAAAGACATAAATAACGTATCTAGTAATTACAATGTTTGGGGCAGAGTGAATAGTAGCATGCTTTGTTCTATAGAATACAGTAATGCTACGTAATAAATACATGTAAGTTCACATTCATTTTGCATCATAAAATTTGTGTAATTGTAGGAACTGATCTGAGCCATCTCTAGTTTGTTTTTTTTTAGTGCAGAGCACACAATATCAAATATATAATTACTATGGACTAATGGAAGTACAACAAGACAATTATAGAATCTCTCTCCCTGAAGTGTTAAGGATAATATTAGCACTAATATTTTAGTAAGGTTTGTCAGGTTTTCCCCCAAAGGTGAAATGAGACAGGAAAAAGGGGATTAGTCTGAATAGGAAAACCTTCCAAAAACAACTTTGCCTTTTTTAAAAAAGCTACCTCTGCTTCTCTCCTTCAATAGTACTGAAGCTTTAAAACAAAATGTTAAATATCTGTTTTAACTGAGTGTTGCTTAACTTGGTTTTAATTTTTTTAAACTGCATGTTAAAAACTATTAAAACATATTCAATAATTTAAATATTAATACTAAGATTCATAATTCAACACATATATTAAATATATATTAATATATTAATATATGTTTAATAGTAATTTCGACAATAATTTAAAGATTAAATAATATAAAACATTTTAAAAACGAAAAGCTTTTGTTATAGGGAGATAAACAAACTTTAGAAATTAAAAGAAAGGGGAAAATATTTGAAGCTGCTTCTGCTAAAATAGGCCCAAAGTTTTTCCTTTCTCCTTTGTGTTAAAACCCGAGGGGCGAGGCTACAGCATTCAATTCGCATTTCAAGTTTAAAAGTTTCCCCTTTTATTGTTCGTTCATTTCCAACTGTACATGCCTCTTTGCCTAGCAGCACTGGAGACCAAAAGTACACCGAATAAAGAGAGTTTTCCTTCTTAAGAAGAACCTACAGACGCCTTTTCACGTCTTTTGCAGACTGGCAAGGCTAACAAGAGCGCCCCGTAGGAAATAAAAATACTCACCCGAGTCTCTGTTCTTCTTCTAGGTTGTTGAAAGGCTTTTTTTTACTTTCA